GACATAAATCAGCTCCCTATGGGCAAGGAAACATGGGGATGGCAGTGACAAGTGCCCACCACGGGCTATAGGACTCTACCATCTTGGCTCTGGGATGCTTCCCAGGGATGGAGTCTTTATCCCCATCACTTCCAGACAGGTTCCTTGGGGACCTTGCTGTCCCACCAGCACCCAGCAGGGTGATGAGAAGCACTGTGTCGAGGGAGGGGACAAGGGACTGTGCCACAGAGAGGCTACATGGCTCCCCAGAATGAAACAGTAGGGCTGAGACCCTAAAAGCCCAGATAGGGGATTGAGGGCCAGCTCAGGAGGTGTCCGCCACAGACATCCCACTGCCCTGCTAGGGAAGGATGTGGGTGAAGAGGGGTCTCTCTCCCGCAATGGGTCTCTCTGAGCTGCCCAGCCCAGCAGAGCCCAGCCCAGTCCAGCCTCCCTCTGCCTGCCCGTGCTGCCATCCCCGGTCCTCCAGCTCCCTCTGCTGCCGGCGAGGACGGCGGCTGCCCGAGCCGGCCGGAGCAGCATCGCAGCCGCCCTAGGTCCCCACTAAGGTCTTCAAACACGGACGACAGGGCACCTGCACCAGCATCACCCACACGCCCCCCGATCCGTTCACCTGGAGAAGGGCTGCGGGCAGAGGATGCTCCCAGCACGCTGCTGGGGAGACGTGGGACACCTAGTCCCGAGCAGCACCCTGTGCAGGTGGGCAGCCTTGCCAGAACCAGTAGGTGGCTGCAGACCCTGAAGACCCCATGGAGGGACGGACTATGGCAAGATCTCAGCCTCAGTACTACACACCAGGGACTCCACGCTGAGACTGCAGCTCCAAAGTGCAGGCACTTGCAAACAGGTCTTTTCAGCTTAGGTGATTTCTCTGGGTAGACGTGTGTGCTCATGCCATGCACACTGCAAGTGTCAGGAGCTGCTCAGCAGCCAGTCTGTTTCTTTTTAAAACTTCACATAAGCAGGTAAATTATCCCCAAGTAACACATTTACCATGAGAAGAAAAATGTCAGTGCTGCTGCTGCCACCAAAGCAGGAGCTCCTGCGTCCCATTCCCCACGGTGACGGGCATCCTGAGTTATGGCCCTGTTGGAGAGACAGCGGGTTTGTAAATGCCTCTGTTTGTGCTGTTTTCCAGCTCAACCAGGGCCCATTGATCACATTGATCCCATAGGTCAGGAGTGAAGCCAGTGAAGAGAAGCAGGAGCTGGAATGGTGGAGACACACAGCCAGAGCCATGCCAGGAGCTGGACACATGCAGGGATGCTTGGATCTGGCCCTCTGTGTTCTTTTGCCTCTGTGAGATCCCTGGTCTAAGGACACAGTTTGAACAAGCTCATTTGCTTGGCCAGCAACTGCAAAAGGATTTAAGTCAGAAGTCCATGGAGAAAGGTCCCTATGACAGCATGGTGCAAGCACAGAGCCAATATGGCATGCATATTTGGTATGAAAAAAGGCTGGTTTGGGGGTGAGGACTGACCCTTTACTTGGCCCACAACTCACAGCCACTAAATGCTACCAAGGATACTCAGGAACCAGGATGTTATTTGTACCCAGAGATAAACAGACCCTGCCCAATGAAAAAACAGTTTTGAGAAATACAAGGAGGGAAACTGAGGCACAGAGAGCCCATGGGGCATGCAGTGACATCCTGGGTTTCAGCCAGTATGAGGGAATCCTTTTACAACCTCAAGCATTTGCTGTAGCACAGAGAATGCTGAGATTTAACCCCAGGAACTACAAACTGCTCTGAGTGAACTTCCCCCAGGTAGGCAAAGGAGGAGCCCCGTGCCCAGTGTCTGACCTGGGCCTGAGCAGTCTGGGGATCCACAAGCCCCTTGCTGCAGCAGCCCTGCAGCACCTTCCCTGCAGTGAGTGAACCATGGGACAGGGCAGGCAAACGGGCTCACGTTGGAGACAGCCCCCCCAAGCACGTTCCCTAGAAGGGGCTGACATGACACTGACACAGCCAGGCACATGAGAGCAGGGATGATCTAGGCACACGTTGCTGCCCCCGTGGCAAAGGCACTCATTGGCACCCTGAGCCCTGCACAGAGTTGGGCGGCTTTGCACAGAGATTAGGGATGGCCAAGGGAGTCTGGAGAATCAGGACATTCTGCTCATGAGATCCTACCAGGCAGGCTATTTCCTACAGAACAGACAAGGAAACTGAGGCAGGGAGGGCTGCTGGGACTCTGGGAGCAAGGGAAGGTGGCAGCAGGCCTGTCCCAGCTGCACCATCACTGCTGAACCGTAAAGTCACTTGTCAAGCAAGCATGAAGCCCCTGTGCAGACCATTCCCATGGGATTGGGGTCGCAATCCCTTCACCAGATGGGAGGGATGATTCTGAGAAGGCACTGATTCCTGGCTTTGCTCCTGCAGACACAGGCTCATGCAGACCACAAGACACTACCATGGTATCCTCTTCAGAACATGGCCCAGCATCCCACCATGTATCCAAGCCATGTTCTCATCAGGGCAGCTCTGCCATCACCCAGCTGGATCTTATTCCAGACAGAGGAAACTGCTGGAAACAGGGACTGCAGTACAAATCATCACACCAGGACCTGGTGCATGCCCTGCTGCATTCCTTGCTGCTGTTGTCCACTGGCTGCCCAGGCAGGCCTCTCACTCTGCACCCACTGGCCCCGAGAATGCCCCGCAGGGTGCTCTTCCCTCCAGGCCTTCTCCAACCAGGCTTCTTCAGCTACACCCCAGCAACCCTTCCCTCACGCTCCGCACCGTGCCGACGTCACCCTGGCCATCAATAGCACTTGGTTAATTAATTTGATGGGAACAGCAGGGACCACACTTTGCATTTAGTGAACTTCTGAGAACTTCCAACCTCATCTTCATAATTGGCCTCATAAATTCGAGGAAAGAGAGAAATCAGCAAAGCCAGAGAAGCACGGGAGGCAGGAGAGGCCCTGCACGCGGGAGGGCGGGTGAGTGCGTGAGAAGTGACTCTATTTGGTGTCCTTATTTAATTTTATTGCACAGATCCATCTTCGCCCGCCCCCTCCTTGCCTAGCCCTCTCTCTCCCGCTCTCCCTGCTGAGTTCACCTAATCATGATAAATTCATATTCATTTCCCTGCCTGCTCCGACGGGGGGAGCAGCAGCTCCCCTACATTTGCCCAGCCATGCTGCCATTAGCAAATATTTACTCATGAATACAAAGTGCCAGTTGGAGACCAAACTACTCTCCCTGCACCCCTTTCCCCCAGCCCCCTACCATCCCTGCACCCGGATGAGCAGGACAGCTGAATGTCCTCCCCACAGGGAAGAAGAGCAGGGTGGGAAGAGCTGCCTAATGCCTAGAGCTTTTTCTTCATACAGAGCTTTTCTTCCTTTTCAATGAGGGAGGCGGAGAGTTGTTGGGGGGACAGGAATTGCCCGAGACCCCAGTCTAGACTCACCTTCAGGGTACAGGGTTGGCAGGGTGAGAGCAAGGGGCTCTGCAGCAGAACCTGAGGGCCTGTCCCAGCTCCATGACTTTCCACTCATTCTATAAGTGCTGCTGCTTTTTGTGTTATTTTTAATTTTCAGGATGATCAGACTCACAGCCAGGGAGAGCGGGAGGGGGTGTGCTGGAGAGGGAGGAATAACTGAATCCCCTTCCTGGGAAGCAGAAACCAGGCAAGATATGCCTAAAAGCATGCTTGCTCTCCCTGCCTGCACTGATCCAGGGGACTCAGCACCCACCTCTTCTCACACACCCCAGGAGACTCATCCCTTGTACCTTCTTCCCAAGTGTGGCATGCTGTTTAGAAGAGGCAGGAGGTATGCTGTGAGCTGGTCAGGCCCTGCCCTGCTGCAAGGGCAGGGATTAGAGGTGTGGAGAGGAGCATGTGTGGGACAGCTCTGTCCCCTCTGCCCAGGGCAGGGCTGACTCACAGTGGGTGGCATGGCCCAGCCTCTCATGTTTCTCCCCTTGCAGCAGGATGTGGGAGAATCAGCATCCAGAAATGTCACCCTCCAGCTGCTGTGGACAGGCTCCTTGTGCTCCTTCACCTCCTGCCCCTTTCAACCCTTACAGCTACACCCAGGAGAAACGGCCCTTATCCATCCATGGCCCACCTGGCTGCAGTTAGCCACATGAGGGCCCTCTGCCCCCTCCAAAGCTCCTGGGCAGGCATTTGTGGGGTGGGAGAGGACAGACAGCAGGCTCATTCCCTCACAGAGCAGGGCACTGGTGGAATTTCTGTCCCAGCTTCCCCATCTAACCTCCCTGTGGGACAGGACTGTCTGTGGGATGGGACAAAGCCAGATGTGGTGCAGCCCAGCCAAAGTTGGCTGACTGGAAGGATGGAGACCCCTTTCCCTGAGGGGTGGTCCCTGGGCTACACAGCCCTCCTGGGGTCAAAGTGTTCTCCCTGGACCTGACAGCCCCATAGTCTGAGGTTGCCTCCCCTTCTGCTCATGGATAACCCAGCTCAATTCTGCCTCAGCAGCCCTTGTCCTTCTCCAGCTTCTGCAAATCCCTTGCAAGCCAATCACTTCTGCTGCTTATCTCCATGTGCACCCTTGGCTTCCCAGATGTTCAGATTCCCCTTGGATAACCAAAGCATTTCCATGCTCAGGACTCTGAGCTGTGTTCCAGGCAGAGAACAAGAGACAGAACAGCAGCCAACTCCCACGTGCCCTACTGTTTGATGCATATGGAAAATCTGACAGCAATCCTTTCCTGACTCCACACCTGAAGAAAGAGCTCAACCCAAGGTTCAGAGCTCAAGAATTGCTCCTTTCTCTGGGAACAGCCAATCCCAGCTCAGCGACATGGCCAGCTGGATGCCAGGACAGAAGATGGTATGGGAGGATGGTGGCCAGCAACTCCCTGCCCTGAGAGCCAGAATTGCTGCTCCCACAGTGTGATGATCTGCACTGCATGTTCTCCACCTCCACTGAAACCAGGGAAATGGGCCAGCACAGGAGGAGCTCCTGGTAAGCCACAGGAGAAAGTCCCAACAGTCACAGTGCAGAGAGGAAAAAGACAGGTACCAAGGGCAAAGAGAAGGGATTTATTTATTACACTTCAAATTTCAAAGCACCAAGACATGCCAAAAGACATTTCCTTCAGGTGTCCAGTATAAAGGCTCAGCTGACAAATGTCACTGCTGGGGTCTGGGCCACCCCAGCAAAGCCCCAGCCCTGCTGGTGCCCAGCAGCCACAGAAAATGTACAAACCCACCTGGTTTGTGCCTGCCCTAGCAGCAAACATGCAGCTTTGCCACTGTACGTGACAGGGCCAGATCCCCCACAAGGGAGCAAGAGCCCCAGAGCCCTGGCACAGAAATGCCCACCATGGCACCTCTGCCAGGAGCAACCACTGCAATACCTGTAACAGAGCACTCAATATCTCTGGGAAATTCATCTCCACAATATAAAATAGTTGAGGTTTCCTGAGAAATAAAATTCACTCCCATGGAACTGGTGAGACCAGCCACATGCACATGTATACACACACACACACACACACACTTTCCCTGATCAAAGACCAGATGGCTCCATGGCTTCCACACAAAGAAAAAGGGAAAAAGCTTTGCTTTGGCACAATTAGAACTTAACTGTCTCCTTGTGTTTCTGTATTCATGCCTCCTACAGACAGACACACAGCCCTGCAGGATTACATTCAGTGCCATTACATTCAAACCCTTCCTGAGCACAGCTCCCCAAGCTGCAAGCTCCACTCCTCTCCTGCACTGAAAAGAAAGGAGCTCTTGGGGCAGACCAGGGCTCTCAGTAAATCTGGAGGATCCTCACAACATAAGGTTGGGAGCAGTCACAGCAGCCTGGCCCTGTGCAATGGGACCCATCAAAGGACACATCAGCTCAGACTGAAGGACAGAGCAGCAGCATAAGTTAACACATCGAGATTCCTGCAGTAGCAGCTGCCAGCAGAAGTGAGGAGGAAGGCCTGTCAGAGAACCAAGCTAGACCTTCATTCACATCTCAGAACAGAAATTTCGGAGTCTCAGTGCTCAGATACAGAGGAAGATGCATTCCACTTCCCTTGTTTCCAACCACTGTCAGGGGCTGGATCACAAGGTCCTGCAGCCCGGTCTTCCAAAGCTGGGGACAGCAGAGCCACGTAGCTGCTGGGCAATGAGCCCTTTTGGAAACCACACCAAGACAGCATTTCCAGTGTGGTTCCAGCCCACAGTCTCTGCTGAGGAAGCCACAGAGCTCTGCCCAGCAGCCAGCCTTACACTTGCAAGGGAGCCCCGGAGTTTGTTCTTCAGCCTGCAGGCACCACAGAGCCTTTCCACCATTGGGGAAATCAGATCCTTCAAAACAGCAGCACAACAGCAAGCCCAGGGTGACAACCAGGCATCACCAGTCCCGTTCGGAGGGCTCCCGGTAAGGCAGCCCCAGCTGAATGAAGACATCTCTCTCGGTGGGAGTGGGCAGAGTATGGCCAGATGACACCTTGGCACCCCCAGGGCCCCGCACCACGGCCGAGCTGAGCGCGTGCTCCGACAGGCTCATGCCCTTGGTCTTGGCCAGGGCACGCATGGAGCGGTTGAAGTGAGCCGAGCCCGTGAAGTAGAGCAGGGCACAGGCGAACTCCCGGTACGGCACCACAATGATGTCGAGCCTGCGGTGACGCTGCGCTGGCCCGGGCAGGCGGCACACGCCCAGGTACTTCTGCTGATCACCATTGTCCTCCTGACTCACCAGGTCATCTGTAAGGAAGCCTGGGGAGAGAGAACAGGCCAAGAGGAGCTGAATGGTAGGATACCTCCACGCTGAACTACCCACTGCCCAGAGAGCAGCAGAGATGTCTCATAATGAGCTGTGGGACCCCAGGGATAACATGCTGAGCTGCAGCAATATTCCCTCCTTAACACTACAGCTAAGCCAGGTGCAGGGGCAGTAATTTTAAGGACTAACAAGATGTCCCATCCTTGGGAGAAGTGATCACCTATCCTTCAATGAATGCCATCCACCTCATTGCCCCTTTGCCTTGGCCATTCTAAGAGCAGCTTCCCCATCCTCTTACCACTCCTGCGGAGGCTGTTGAGCAGCTTGCTGAACACCCCACGGTGAGACTGCCCATCTGGGTGAGTGACCAGCACATCCACATCCCCACAGGTGGCCTTCCCCCGACGGTAGGAGCCACAGGCAACACACACAAGGCCAGGCTTCAGGGCCAGGGCAGCTTGTCTGACCTTCAAGAAAGAGGGATGAGGAGTCAGAGACCAGCCTCTTCATGCCCTTCCCATCAGAGCAGCAAAGGATCTCGTGCCTGCCTTGAGTTCTGTCCTGCATCTCCAAAGTCTCCCATACACTTGGCAGGCATGACACACTGTCCCACAAAGAAGGCTGGCCTGCTGTCAGGGGAGGACTGAGCCAGAGTGGCCTCCACCCAGTCCTGCAAACACCCTGCACAATGCCACACCATACAGTGATTGACCATCACCTCCTGGAAGCACTGGGTTGGGACAAGCAGGAAGATGAAGGAGCAAAGCTTTCGGAGCCTTCAGTTTCTGAGACAGCAAGAGGTAAGAGGTTTTTCAGCCGACAAGCACAAGGCTCACCAGCTCTGCCCACAAAGGGAATCAGCTCAACAGGTGATGGTCACAGGCCATGTTTCAAAAACAGGGATGAGCTCATGAAGTCTCCCCAGCAGGACTCAACACAGCAGAGAATATGTGAGTACCCCTTAGAGTTCACTCCTGCAAGGAGCTCTGCCTCTGCAGGAGATCCGGGCTTCCTGACCCAGAAAAAGCACAATTGTCCCAGAACTTTAGACCAAAGGGATGCCAACATGCTGCTGCCAGCAATCAAACACATAATCAGAATTTCCCCTATTACAGTCTTCTCCAGGCTGGACCCCAGGTCCTGTTTTGTGCAGACAGTGCTAACCCTGATGGCTTCATCCATTACATGTTTAAGAAAGGCTCCCAAGTCCCTGACAGGCCTAACGTATTCTTGGTCTGATTGTGCCAATCACCCTGCTGGCAGCAAATAATGAGGGGCTCAGCAATTCCCAGTGATGGGGCCATCACAGAGGCTGGGGTTCAGCAAGGCAGTGTCTGTGCCCACAGCCCTTGTCACTCTTGGGGATCATCCTTCATTAGCAAGAGATAAACCCATTAACCTTTGCCCCAAAGGTGCTCCAAGAAGCCACAAGCCTTTCTCATGCGGAGCAAGCCCTCCTCTGGTGTTTTTTTCCCCCCCTCTGGCTTTAAATGAAGATTTCTAGAAAAACTTCCAGCCCCACCCGAGAGCCTAAAAGCTCCTCAGATCTCACTGTGACAGGCAGCACAGACAGTGACTAATCCCTCATTCTCTCTCCTGGGCCTGGATCAGAGGTGTGTGCGTGTGTATGGAGGGAAGCACAGTAATCCCATCAAGATAACAATAGACCCACTCCCAAGAGCCAGCTCCTCAGCCCAGCCTGCCTGGGAAAGGGACCACTCACCACCAAAATGGCTAATCCGGCACACAGGACTGACACCCCAGCAGGAGCCTGGCAGGAGGGTATTCTTCATGGCCAGGCCCTGTGGCCGAGTGACAGGGTCACACTTGCTGCTGCTTCCATGGTGATTGGAGAGCACAGGGGTAGCAATGACAGTATGTCCCCCAGGCTCTCTGCTCACATTAGGGTACACTGGCTTAGCACCCCATAGTCATGGAGTGCCACAGCATACTAGAGCAAGCAGCACTCGTTTGCAGCCTGGATCCCCTTTGCTTCCACCAAGGATATCCACCCTCTGTTCTCTAACTGACAACTAGATCATAAGGTGCTCACAGCTCCCTTTGAAGCTGGAGCATCAGGGACACCTCAGCTGAAAACAGACATTCAGACATGATGAGAGGCAAGAAAACAGAGCTGGAAACCTGCTTATCCCACCATGCCATATGCAGCCTTCTTCAAAAGCAGTGTGTAGAACTGACCCCTGTGAAGTATCCTCTTCCTTGCCAGGCACTCAGACTGAACTTTCTTACGGGGCAAGGTAGGGGCCTTGTGTGCTCATGCCCATAAAGGGTCCCTCAAGCACTGACTCCACTCAGAGGAGAGGCTGAAGAGCTCAGCTATAACACAAGGGCCATTTTTACAGCATGTACCTTCCTGTCATGTCCCAGCAGGTACTGTACTCTGAGGGCCTGGGGCCAAGGTACTCACTGTCTGCTCTATTTCTGCAGCTTCCTCCCGAGGCATGCGCTCCAGGAAATCCGTGTAGTGCTTCAGCCCCACAGCCTGCTGGCTGGTCAGAGTGGCCTTGGTGCGGATGTCATCCAGTGTCCGGAAACCCTAGTGCAGACCATGTGCTGATATTCAGACATCTGCCAAGACTTTGCTCTTCGCATACGTTCCGTCAAGATTTGGAGAGATTGTATTTAGCCTGTTTCAAGTTCAGGCCAAGTCACAGCTTCTGAGATCACATGTAGAGAACACTTTAGTGCCTGGTTCCTAAAAGAAGGGATTTAGGCAATCCCACTATCCATGCACACCTCCAATCTCCACCCCTCCTCTAACAGGAGGCTACTGCTCTTAAGGCATGGTGTCCCTACACCCTGAAGGAAACCATGTAATGCAGGTAAAGGAACAACACCCACAACATCCCAGTGCGGAAAAGCAGACAACTTGAACACAAACATGTTTTTAAGACTGTCAAGAATCTAGTCACAAACCAAACACTACAGGAAACCAGGCTTCATTAGCTTGTGCTCAGGAGACAAACTGCTTTTAAAGAAGGAATCCACCCAGTGAGCTGGGCTGCTCCTGTTGGCACAATTATTTCAACCTCATTTTTATAGCCTCCAGAGAAGATGGATGGCTGCTCTGACAGCTACAGGCAAACAGCCAGCAATTGCATCAGGAGTTTCCATGGACAAGATGCTCTGATTCAAGCCCGGCTTCTTAGCAACATCATTGCCATGACTAGTGTCATGAGCTCCAAGAAGTGATGCTAGAGCAGAGGCAGCATGTCCTCCATTCCCCCTCTCCACATCTTTGTCCTTTACCTGCCTCACCACAATCAAAGTCTCAGCTGGGTGCTGACATAATGGGATAAAACCTCATAGCTCCTCCCAAAAAAAAGATTTAAATCTTACCTGTAGGTATCAGCAATTAAAAACTACTTGTGAAAGTAATTCTCCTACACTCAGCAGCAGTCTTCAAACCATAACCTGAGAGCCTCTTGTGTAAGGAATTGAACTTACCTGCTGGTACCACATCTGAGCTGTCTTGACCCCTGCTCCCCAGATGTTGGAAAATAACTCCAGCACAGGGACACTCTCACTGATGTGATCCAGTTTGCGCAGGTGCCCACTCTCCAAGATCTCCAGGATCTTCTCTGCCATCCGCTTCCCAATCCCAGGGATTTTACAGGCTTCCTAGAAAGAAACCAGAGCTGCTACTGGAAAAGCAAAGATCACCGACACAGCAGCTGGGGAGCTGCTACTGACTCAGAGCCTGGTTAGTCATTTGATGAGTACAGGGTAAGTGGCAGGACAAGTTCTGCCTGATGGTCTCCTCTCTAGCTCAGGCTTACCTGGGTTGATCAACTCAAGTTGAAAAGGACAAGCCTGCAAAATGGGACTGAAACATGAACATGCTGGACTGTCACAGCCCCTAAGGCTCATATCCAGTCAGTTTTACATGTTATCACTATCGGTGGCCAGATGCTGTTGATGAAGGGCAAGGTGAAAATGTCCCTGCATTGTGTCTAAGGAAGAACTGTTCAGATCTGGCCCTAAAAGGCTCAGATTCCATTTTTCTGCTGTTCTGCAAACACTGTGTATGGTCAATAAATCTCAATTTCCACTTGCTGTACAACTTCCATGGAAGGTCTATCTCCCTGCTCCACCCCCCTGGGGAGCTGTTTTACCTGGTAGGAGGTGACTGGTTTGTGGTAGCTTTTGAGTGCATTGATTGCTTTGGAGTAGCCCAGAGCTCTCCATTTGTCCCCCTGGACAGAGTAAGCCTTTGCCAGCACTTCCAGCTTCTCTGTGATGAACTGGTTGTGATTTTCCTTCTTGGTGTTGGAAGACTGGGCACAAACCCACTTGCTGGGAGGCTGGGCCACTGTGTCCTTGATCTCTGATGATTTCACAGGGTAGCGGCCAGAAATCAATGCTTCTAGGTCTCCCTGGGTGACACCAGCATCTTCTCCTTCACTGTCTTCATCATTAGAGTATTTCTTCAGGGAAAGATCAGAAAGCAGCCATATGAGAATAAGTGCATGCCTCATAAGTCCCCTTGGCACAAGCTATTTCTGAGATTAGGAAGCCAGAGCACTAACCACCGTCCCTCTCGGGCATGCCACGCTCCAATTGCCACCTCTAGAAATGGCTGGTTATATGCACACCACAGTTCCTCACACCTCAAGCAACACATGCACATCTCACACGGCACAGGAGACTAAACTGCTGTCTACCTGTGATTCAAGCACATAGCCCCCTCTGACAGCCAAGTCACTAACTGAGGTAAGACACTGAGTAAGTGTGCAACTGCTGCCAGCAGCAAGGTATGACAATGCCAAAATCCCTGGCTGGCAGAGATCTTGACTCCCTACTTCCACTGGGAAACTTTTAGTTCATCTGGTGGCAGCACAGGCACATCTCACATTCAGACTCAGCAACTTCTACCCCATGATGCAGATGACAGCAGATAGGCACTGAACTTTGTTTTCAGTTTACAGACACAAAATCTTAACAGAGTAGTAAATTAAAACCCCCTCATTTTCCCCATGGCTATCTGCAAAAGAAAAGGGGGAGGAAGGAATGACACAAAGGACTCCACATTCCTCAGTGACAGAAGAAAGAACCAATGTATGCATTTGCTGATACCCTCAGCATTAGGATGCCTCTGTGTAGACTTAAGAAACAATGAGCCTCAGCTTCAGGTAATGAACAAAAGGGGATAGAAGTGGAAAGCCACACAGAGGCTTTGTAGACTGCTTTGCTCACTGGGGTCCCCATCTCCCCTGATGTATAAACACAGGAGTCTATGAAGATCCAAGAGCTTCGTTGTTGTGGAAGAAACTCTGAGTGATTCAGGGTTGTTTGGGATCAGTCCAGCAATTACATGCAGCGCACCATGTTCTGACTTTCTGCAGTGTCAGCCTAAGTCAGAGCCACATCCTTACAACCTCTGGTTCTGCTGGCTGAGGAGGCAGGAGGTCTGGAGACATATAGATGGGATGTGTTTTGCAGTCTTGTTTTATTACTCTGAAAACCGGGCGAGATTGAGGATTTCATAGACTTCATCAGTTTAATTTGCCTTGAAATGCAACTCCCTTGAGATGCTGCTCTCTCTAAGGGCAGCAAAGCCTCAGAGGGCTCAGATAAGTCAGTAAGCCCCTTAAAAGCATATAAAGGAGCACACTATCCAATCACAATGCAGAGAACACTGGAGCTGGAAGCAATTCCCATCCTCTTGGCCAGCAGTGTCACAGAGGTGAAACAGCCCTTAAACCTCTGACTCTCTACACTTTGTCAGCAAAGCTGATGGACTCTTTACAACCAAATGTGCAAAACCAACTAGTAGCAATAGGCTACTTGAGAGGGAGGGAGGCAGCCTGGGGTGACAGCTCTGGGTTCACAGAGAGTGACTGTCACTGCTTACAGAGGCTGCCTTGCAGAGACCTACTGCACCTGGATGCCAGTCAAAAAGTGATTGCTAGTCTGACTGGTAACAGGCTTTCCTCACAGGAGGTTAAATCCAAAGGCAGAACTCCCAGATCAGTCTTTGTTTACTAATAAACACTGGCACACCCATCATCTCCAAGAGAAAAAACATCCACCCAAGCTAGAAAAGACTCTGTGCTTGAAAGGTACTTTCTAAACTAAGTTTCAGCTTTATTGTTGTAGCTCTCAAGTGGTTGGTATTGTCTTTAAAGCATATCCCACTCTTCCCCAAGTCGCACAGACCTAAGCCTGGGACAAGAGATTTTACTGAAATATCTACAACTGTGGCTTTTGTGCCCTCAGTGAGCTGCCAGGTAGAGAGTAATTGCAAGGTCTGGGCAACAAAATTTGGACTGTGTAGCAAAACAGATGCCAGCAATATAAGGCAGCTGCTGGGGATGTTTATGATAACTTTGCTACAGAGAGATTTGAATGACACCAATGCCCAAGAAGAATTCAGCAAATTTGAGCAAAAATACACAGAAAGGAAGGAAAGATAACAGCAGGCCAGAGAAGTTGACTCACAGCAGAAGCTACTAATAACCCAACACAGATATTTTAAGAACACCTCCACAACCCTTCTGGTAGCAACCTGATCCACATGAATATCACCACAGTGAGCCTTGGCCTGAGAGCACCAGGACTACTTCAGCTGGAAATGTTCTGATGGGAACAAAAATTTAGGGGTGTTGTTTCTATTCTTAACACCTAAAAAGGACAAAGAGAAGCAGTAACCATGTCCACAGCCTGAGTCTGGATCACTGAAACATCCAAACACCTTCTATTCACTGAGAAAATCTCACATTGTATCCCTTAGGATACATCCCAGGGATACTCTTAGCCAGGAAAAGCAGCATGCAGGATCTGTCCACAAGGAGATGGATCTGCGCAGAAAAGCCTCACCTCAGCCAGTTGCTGCTGTCCAAGGGTGCCCAAGCCTTGCTGTGAGGAATCCTCCACCTGTGATTCAGTATTCAGTTTCATTGCTCCCTCCTCTTCTGGGGGCTGAATTTTTTCTATGTCCAGGATCTGTTGCTGTTCTTTTTGGAATTCTTCCTCCTCTAGGTACCTGCCATGGATCAGATGTCTCAGTACAGGAGAAGGAGGACTTCTCAGCCCCCAGAAGTTTCACCAAGAAATCCTTTTGCATGTTTTGGGATGGACCAAATGACCCATATGAATTGTACACTCTCAGATCGCAAATTAATTACTTTGGTTTTAGTTCAGCTCCCCAGTTAACATCTACCTTGCTGACCTGCAACTTCCATTCCTATCTACCTCACTCTTAAGACTCTCCTTCCTTGCTGATACCCTCAGCATTAGGATGCCTCTGTGTAGACTTAAGAAACAATGAGCCTCAGCTTCAGGTAATGAACAAAAGGGGAAAACTTTGCCAAAACATTTTGATCCTAACCCATGCCTGCTGCTCCGTTTTTAATTTCTTCTTGTTCCTAGTTGCCAGTTTCTCTCTACCTTTCATCTGCAGTAAGTAAGAAACAGTACTTGATCCTCAGTATTTTTAAGAGATATCTTGTTACCACAGATAGATCAGAAGAGGTGCCTTTAGCAATTGCAGCAAGTGACAGGACTTCTGGTAGTACTTCTGGGCCCTATTACATGTTTTGCTACCTCAGAGAACATGGAGTCATGCTCACAGGTGCTGCAAGGAGTTGCAGTCCAAGAATTTGAGCAGAGGTCAAATTTTAGTGCTGTTCAGTTTAGGATGGAGGAAAGGCAGTGTGGTATTTACATACCTGTGAGGGATAAAGATGCCATAGCCAGCAGTACTCAGCAGCTTCTGGTCTCTAATGCAAGCACTAAGCCAGGATGCCTTCACCAGCTGCAGCCCTGGGCGCAGCTTGGTTAATCTGAGGAGCCGAAAGGCGCGATCACAGTCCATGTCCTCAGCCACAATGACGTGTGTCACCTCCGAGGAGAGCTGGCTGTGTACAATACCCCCATTCTGGACAATCTGCCTGTGGAAGATCTCAGCCCTGGCCTGGCCAATGCCGGCTTGCAGCACGTAGGCAATGACTGGTTTCAGCCACTCTGCTGAGGAAAGCATAGGGGCAGAGACACAGTGACAAAGTACCTCAGCCCAGCAGGGCTACATCTCTCACACAGGACTTGATGGCACCAGCCCTGGCAGGCAGTCTTTGGGGGGCTCCAGCTGGACACACCAAACCAAGGTGGCCATAACCTCTACAGAAAACACACTTAGGGGCAGAAAAAGCCTTTGGGGAACAGCAATTGCAGTTAACATGCTGGGTATAAGTATTATATCCCACATTACAGGGACACAGGACTTACCCTCAGGTATCTCTGTTCCCTCCTCTTTCAGGATCTTTGTAGGGATGATTTTCCCTGAGTCATCCCTCACCTTCTTCCTCTTGGGAAAGGCTTTTACAATCCCTTGTGGCTCCATAGGCCAGGTGGGAAGGTTAGCAGCAATTCCTAAATACAAATAAAAAAGAGCAGGGTTGTTTAAATCTTACTTAATCACAACTCAAGATTCACTAACGTTGCTCACTGTCTTTGCTGTTCTGAAGTTTTCTGTTGTTGCCTTCAAAAAATGCTCAGCCTGAGGGAGGCAACCAGAAGAATTGCAGCCCACAAGGTCAGAAAAACCAAAGTCAGAAAGTCACTTAAGTGAACCCTGCCCTAATGTCTTAGAAACCTCTACAGCTGAGTTCTTACAATGGAAAGCATTCAACTACTTTAACACTTTGCAGCTGTTATATGCTCAGCCTAAAGAAGCAACTTTATTTTGCAGGTATTTCTTAAGCACATTCCCAAGAGGAAAACACTTCTGCCAGGGCTGAAATCCAGTGACCTATGAGATAAAACACTGATTCACACAGCCACAAGAGGAAAACTCCCTACTTGGCTTTATCTGAAAATAGCAAATTACTAAATATTAACTAGCCAAGTTCAATATGCATACAACTCCAGCTTTACCATAACAAGCCTTGCAAATGCAAACTTTGGAGCTTTGGAACTATCAGGATACAAGGAAGCTCAGTTTTCCGTAGCCCACACAAGCCCTGAATTGCTTTATAACCCAAGAGCACCTTCTATGTGGTTGCAGCACTAAGGAAACACCAACCTGGTTTCCTCTCTGTGCAGGACTCTGTGTTTCTCTTAAAGTTCTGACACACAGTCCAGTGCAAACCTATATTTTACCAAACCTGGAAAAGCTGAAAATGTTCCCATCTGGCTATGGCTTCCTGCTATGGTCACTTTGTCATCTGAGTACTAAACATAATCCTCTGAAGACCAACCCAGAGCTCGACTCAAGCCCTTGCTTCTGCGAGGGGGAGTTCAGCTCAATAGGAACAGAAACCCTGCTACATTTCTAAAACTCACCTTGGCTGAAACGTATCGGTTTTCAGGTCGTTTTGACAAAACAAAAAACAAAACAAAAAAAACAAAACAAAACAAAAAACTAAAAAAAAACCTCTGGAAATAGTAATCCTTTCTATTAGATAAGGAAAAAACCCGCACCAAAAGCCCGCCAAGGTTCTCGGTGCCCAAGTACGTTCCAGGGCTCGGAAGTGTGTTTCTGCAGGCTGTATTTTAACTCCTATAAACCACAACCCACGCGCCGGGCACCAAACCTGCCTTGCCAGCCTCCTCAGGCCGCGAAGGTTTCAAGGCCGCCAACCTGGGGCTGGCAACACTCACAACCTCGGGGGCAAGAACAACCCCCCCCCCACCACCAGAGCTCGCGGCTGTGCCCGGGGGAGCCGAGGGAAGGCGGGAGCCGAGGGGGGCGCAGCGGGAGAGGGGAAGGGCCCCGAACGAGCGCGGGGCCGAGGCCGCGTCCGGGCAGGGCCGCGCTCAGCTCGGCCGGGCCGGAAGCGCTTCCGGGCGGCGGGCGGAAGTTTC